GTGCCACCACAGAAAGGTTCGTGGTGCACAAGAAGTGCCCAGGCTGCCCCAACAACTGCACCTGAAGCCAAAGCTTCCAGACTTTTTTTCCTGGTGGAAAGAGCTGCTGATCCCTTTTTTCAGCCCTGCACTGCGATGGCCTGTCCCACCTCCTGAAAAATAGAATCCAAATGAAGATTCCTGCCAGACAAAAGGTGCCACCACAGAAACCTCTTGCTGCCCAAGAAGTGCCCAGGCTGCCCCAACAACTACACCTGAAGCCAAAGCTTCCAGGCTTTTTTTCCTGGTGGAAAGAGCTGCTGTTCCCTTTTTTCAGCCCTGCGCTGCAATGACTGGTCCATCCTCCTGGAAAAAAGAATGCAAATGAAGATTCCTGCCAGACAAAAGGTGCCACCACAGAAAGGTCTTTGTGCCCAAGAAGTGCCCAGGCTGCCCCACCAACTGCACCTCAAAGCCAAAGCTTCCAGGCTTTTTTTCCTTAGGGAAAGAGCTGCTGTTCCCTTTTTTCAAACCTGCGCTGCAATGACTGGTCCATCCTCCTGAAAAATAGGATGCAAATGAAGATTTCTGCCAGACAAAAGGTGCCACCACAGAAACCTCTTGCTGCCCAAGAAGTGCCCAGGCTGCCCCACCAACTGCACCTCAAAGCCAAAGCTTCCAGACTTTTTTTCCTGGTGGAAAGAGCTGCTGTTCCCTTTTTTCAGCCCTGCGCTGCAATGACTGGTCCATCCTCCTGGAAAAAAGAATGCAAATGAAGATTCCTGCCAGACAAAAGGTGCCACCACAGAAAGGTCTTGTGCCCAAGAAGTGCCCAGGCTGCCCCAACAACTACACCTGAAGCCAAAGCTTCCAGATTTTTTTTCCTTAGGGAAAGAGCTGCCGATCACTTTTTTCAGCCCTGCACTGCAATGGCCTGTCCAACCTCCTTGAAAATTTACACAAATGAAGATTCCTGCCAGACAAAAGGTGCCACCACAGAGAGATCTTTACTGCCGAAGAAGTTCCCAGGTTGCCCCAACAACAGCACCTCTAAGCCAAAGCTTCCAGAATTTTTTTCCTGGTGGAAAGAGCTGCTGATCCCTTTTTTCAGCCCTGTACTGCAATGGCCGCTCCAACCTCTTCAAAAATTCAGTCCAGATGAAGATTCCTGCCAGACAAAAGGTGCCACCACAGAAAGGTCTTGCTGCCCAAGAAGTGCCCAGGCTGCCCCAACAACTACACCTCAAAGCCAAAGCTTCCAGACTTTTTTTCCCGGTGGAAGGAGCTGCTGTTCCCTTTTTTCAGCTCTGCGCTGCAATAACCGGTCCCACCTCCTGAAAAATTTACTCCAACTGAAGATTGCTGCCAGACAAAAGGTGCCACCACAGAAAGGTCTTGCTGCCCAAGAAGTACCCAGGCTGCCCCAACAACTACACCTGAACCAAAGCTTTCAGAGTTTTTTTCCTGGTGGAAAGAGCTGCTATTCGCTTTTTTCAGCCCTGCGCTGCAATGACTGGTCCATCCTCCTGGAAAATAGAATGCAAATGAAGATTCCTGCCAGACAAAAGGTGCCACCACAGAAAGGTCTTGCTGCCCAGGAAGTGCCCAGGCTGCCCCAACAACTGCACCTCCAAGCCAAAGCTTCCAGACTTTTTTTCCTGGTGGAAAGAGCTGCTGTTCCCTTTTTTCTGCCCTGCGCTGGAATGACCGGTCCCACCTCCTAAAAAATTTACTCCAACTGAAGATTGCTGCCAGACAAAAGGTGCCACCACAGAAAGTTCTTGCTGCCCATGGAGTGCCCAGGCTGGCCCAACAAGTGCACCTGAATGCCAAAGGTTCCAGGCTTTCTTTCCTGAGGGTAAGGGCTGTTGTTTCATTTTTCAGTCCTGCACTCAAACTACCAGCCCAACTCCTAAAATTGCATACAGACGAAGAGTCCTGCCAGGAAAAAGGTGCCACCACAGAAAGCTCTTGCTGCCCACTGAGTGCCCAGGGTGGCCCAACAACTGCACCAGAGGGTCAAAGGTTGCAGGCTTTCTTTCCTTTTTCAGCCCTGCGCTGCAATTGCTGGTCTCACCTCCCCAAAACTGATACAAATGAAGATTCCTGCCAGACAAAAGGTGCCACCACAGAAACCTCTTGCTGCCCAAGAAGTGCCCAGGCTGCATCTACAAGGGAACGACGGACCTTCCACCCAGGAAAGAAAGCCCTTACCCTACATCTCTCATGAGCAGTTGGTGGGCCAATTTTGGTATTCTGTGGGCATAAAGAGCTTTCTGTCCTGGCACCTTTTGTCCTGGAGGAATCTTTGTATTCGATTGTAGGAGTGTCCCTGCCCAAAGGGAAGAACCCTTTTGCAATGATTACATTCACAGCCCTCCAGTGCCTGTGTAGGATGTACCTGGGATGTAAATGCATGCAGGAATGTCTTTCCCTCCACACTTCCACCTGTGGACCACTTTGCTGGACAGCCTACACAGGGCTTCTGCTGCTGCAGATCTTGCAGGAAATTTGTAAGAGGGAACTGGTTTGGGTCAAGAAGTATTTGGGAATTTTTTCTGTTGGAGGCTGAGGATTCACTGTTGGCTACACAAATACTTCTTGTAAGGCAGATAAAAAATAATGTGAAAACAATGATGTTATATTCATGTGAAAAAGTTTAGGATACACATTACACATCTGGAGCAATTAGATGGGATCTTCTTGGGCAATCTGGAAGATCTGTGCAGGATGCCTCCACAATGGCAGTGCAGGAAACAGGCCGTGATGGTATATTTTCATATATATCTACATTACACATTTGCTCAGCTTGAGGTCTAATGTGCTGTTGCTGTTGCCAAAGCCTGTGTGTTTCCAGTATTGTCATTCCTGGTATGGATCTGCTTTCCATGGCAGGATTTCCTGGAAGAGTATCAAAGCTGTCTTAGCTCTGATACATTTTCTGGCAGCCAACTGTCTGCCCAAGTACCCGCTCACTCCAGGAGATTCCAGTCACCCAGTGTGCAGTGTGTCACCAGCTTCCCCAGCTCTGGAACTGGGAGCTTGGCAAATGCAGCTTTTTGAAAAAGCAAGAGACATCATCATGCTATGAGCAAACAAGCTGGGACCAGGAAAAATAAATACAGAAATAAAAAATAAAGTAAGTAAATATAAATAAATAAACCAGAGAGACATTCAGGCTTTCAAATTTATTCCCATTTCCTTGACCAATAAACTTGACCAAGCAGTGGCCAAGCATTTACCTTGTGACATTTTTTTTACCACCACAAGTGATCCCTTTGAACCGACTTTCCAAATAAAAACTCAGTTCATTAAATGACAGACAAACCCAGTGAATGTAAGTGGAAAACGCTTCTTATTTGGGAAAGTGGCAAAAGTAATCTTGATTCTTTTTTGGAGCTGTGAACACTTTCTATCTGTGTCCCTGAACATTCTTGATTCAAACTCCTTAGCCTGAACCTAAGGATGTTTCCATGCTTGATTCATCTGAGACTGACAGCATTCCTATGTACGTCTGTTTTGGCACAGCTGATTCCTTTTATTCCTGTGTGTCTCAGTGTTCCAGGTCCCTGGACCTGTGCCGAGGATCACTGCTGCAAACAGGCATGTGCAGCTTCTCCTCACCTTAATATTCAACCTCAAGCCAAAGGGAGAAGGAGGGGGGGCAAAACCCCAAACTCATGTGCAACATAAAGCAGAAACAGATTCTGCTGAAGATGTGTTTGGCTTGTTCTCCTGACAAAGTTTTCTAAAATCTCTCTCTCTTAAAGCCTGTGTTCATCACACAGGCAGTTCTGCAGAAAGCAGATGATTACAGCAGGTCTGTGTGAGGCAGAGGTGTGTGGGTGTCACATGAAGGGCACAGCTTGTGCCAGGAATGCTGCTCATCCACCCGGGAGGTGGCTGTAAAACATTGGGTTTGGGACATTGTTCCTGTGCTGCCTCAGGGACTAGGGAGCAAATTTTCTCTAAAATAAAGGTCCCATGAGGAGTCATGGACAGCTGACAAGGGTGAGGGGTTTTTCTTGAGGTGTTGACAATGTACAACCTACAAAGCCCCATCAGCCTTGCTTCTTGCTTTCTCCTGGTCCCTACTCCACTGCTTAACCATATTTTTCCCCCTGGTTACCATCTGAGGACAGAGGCTGCTGAGGTGCACACAGGTTGCCCAGGCTGCAGCAAGTGAAACAAGGATAGGAGATATCTGAAGGTGATTGGTGCCAATTCCTACAAAAATGGACCACGAGTGGAGAACAAACAGAAAGGTTGATTGAAGAGGAATGGTTTAATGTAGATAGAGACTGGATAATACCTCAGGTGGGAGCTGCTGTCTGCTCAGGTGTGTGACAAAGGGCTCCCTTAGTGACCAAACTGCTTCTATGCTACTACAGCAGGAACTTATGCATGGGATTGCCCCAGTGAAGCACTGCACAGTCCAGCTGAAAAAGAACCAGACATGTGAAAGTTTTTCATTAGCAGTTTTGCTGCTAACCAAACCAGCCCAGGTTCGAGGCAGAAGTCTGTTCTGGAAACTTTTAACCCATTCCTCTACTGCTGTTGCATTGTTTTCAAAGTATGATTCTACCCTCATACGCAAAATAACGTCTCGCTTACAAGGATTTTTGCTCATATGTACAAACCCCAGTAAAGAAAGTTGAACACAATATATACACTGGGAAATATAATCCTGGAATACGAGTCAATGACGTGATTGTTCTGTAAAATAATCCTGCCCACGTTTCCCTTCAGAGATTTCTTCAAGCGAGTTGGTTCCTCATTGGAGATGTTGGTTTCGCTCGTCCGAGTCTCATTCTCCTCACAGGGGTCTGAGAAACCAGACAGGTCCATGTCATCCGTGTCATGAAAGCAGCCATCAAAAGCCATGGCTTGCACTGCATCCATATACACTCCTGAGGCCTGGCAACAAAGAATAGTTAGTCTGTGTCTACAGGAGACATTTCAGTAAATTATAAACAAATAAAAGAGGAAGTAAAGAAAGCTCTCCCTTCATTGTCGTTCCCTCTTAGAGAGCATATGGAGAAGAGGGTTATCTCACAGTATGGCAGTCTGCAGGCAGGACGTGAGCAAGGAAGGAGATATAGTGATAAAATACTCCTGTCTGACTGATTATTGCCAGCTGCTGGCTGGCAATATGTGCCCCAGCTTCTGAAACAGAAGAGTCAAACTCTCTCCTGTAGGTCTGCACTGCTGGAGCTGTGGGAAATGACTTCAAACATTTCCATCAGATTATATGAGCAACACATGCACCCTTTCTGTGGTTTTCCCCTTGTGATATTCCAGCAAATGAGTTTACATGGGGGGATATTCTTGAAGCAAAGGTTTTAAGCGAGCGCTTCACAGAAAGCAGATGTTTAACTTGCGACCATTTCTGTTTCAGGCACACTTTTCTAAAAATGGCCTTGTCTTGGGACAAAAAGGCATCATTAAACCTACCTTTCCAATTGAAAATAGCAAAGCAGGAAGAGGAGAAATGGACTCTGCTTCACAGAAAACAGGAAGGAATATCACATGAGTGCATTCTGGGGTCTGTTTCAGAGACAGGCAAAACGCTTTTTTAATATTTGAGATTTGGAATTGAGATAGGTATTTGAGAACAGAAGGAAGGTTACCTTCCACTGAGGGGGGAAAAAAGGGAGAAAAAAATCAGGAGGTGAGTATTCCCTAATATCTGCTAAAAGAAAAGGAAGGGAAAAAAAGCACAGGGCTTCTCAGGATCTCAGAGAGAATGATACATTTCCTCCCTTCAACCAAGTCAAAAAAAGGTGAGATATGGAGTGACACAGAGATAGTTACTCTTCTGTTATCACAGTGGTGATTACTCTGTGGCTTCTATGGTGCTTTTTGAAGGCAACAAAACACAGAGGACTGTACCTTGCCTCTTTTTTTGAGTTGCTTTCTCTCTTCAATCGTGGTGAGATAGTTCACTGCTGCATATTCAATGACGGACAGGAAGACAAAAAGGAAGCTGATCCACAAATACACATCCACAGCCTTTATGTAAGACACTTGAGGCATTGAGGCACTTACTCCTGTCATGATGGTTGACATTGTCAGCACTGTAGTTATACCTGCCAAAGAAAGAGTTATCCTAACACTGACCAGCTGGTTCTGTGCAGCTCATCACCGTCCCTTGGACAGCTCGGCTTTGTGAGGGCGTACGACTGACACCACCTTTAACTTCATCACACAGGCTCTGAGAAGTGGAGTGAACCATGAAGGACCCATCACAAGCAATACTGAAACCAGTAAATCATCCCTCTGCTCAGTGCATGCAGTTAGAGCTGCAGCACAGCAGGGAAACAAGGATGGTGTTTGAGCAGCGTAAGGAGCACATTTCTGTGGCAGCTTTGGGCACCGCTGTGGAGAAGTGAAAGCAGGTGTTTGTGGGCTTCCCTCACTTCCCAGAGCCAGGGTCACCACTGCACACTTTCTTGTCCAGGAGAATCCCTAAACAATCACCAATTCCCCCCACCAATCCTTTCTCAAACTGTACTTTTTGAGAACATTTACCAGCTTGTATGTCTCAGTCGCTCTCTGAAAACAATCAACAGAAAAATGCTACATCCATTGAAACTAAGAAAAAAATTACTGTTTACTTCAGTGTGACCAGAATTTCACCCTCATCTTTTCGATCTCTCCTCTTACATGAGCTATTCCTCTCATTTTGGTTTGCTCCATCTCAGAAAAAAACCCCCAACACCTGACTCAGGCCCTGCTTTTAAAGAAGTGAAGACATCTCAAGTGAGACAGCCCCAGCCTGTCAGCTGGGTCTCAGAGCAGCCCTTCTCCAGTTCTACACTAGTTCAAGTCCACTGGAACACACAAAAGTTTTCCCTCTCCCTCTTTCCTTAGGTCGAAAGGTGGAGTTGGAAATATATACCATATAAGAGGAAATCAATTTATTTAATTGATACTCTAGGCTTGGGAGCTAAGCTTTTTAAACTTTGTTGTTAACATTGCCTATAAATTATTTACACTTACGCTAATGAACTGTGCTTTATTCATAGAACTCCTGATGAATAACCTTCTGCAGAAATCCATATATAAAGAACATGATCAGCAAAACCATCTTGTCAACATTAAAAATGGCCTACTGAGATTTAAAAAGTTGTTTTTAAAGGTGAAGTTAAATTTCTTATAAATAAAAGGAATTAGCAGATGCATTAATAAAAGTAGGGAGGAGGTACCATAATTTGTTTTCAGATTAACAGATTTATATCACATGCATTAATAGCTTTACTGTGCCAATAGAAAGGGATCTGAGGTACCTACAGTTCCATTTTTTCTAGACTGAGAAAGCTATAGATAAAAATAGAGGGCTTTTTCACTTATCTAAGGAATATGACAACATTGGCTTCTGGGACCAGCATCAGTGAGAAGAAAGTACAGGAGCTTCTTTACTAGTTATTAAACTAAGAGTTGCAGGACTCAGATATATTATGGTTACATTAGATATCTTAGCAAATTTCCATCAGATCTTCAGAGATGATTCTTTCAGAATTTTTGGAAAAATATACTCATTCCAAGGCCATCAGAATTAAATTCCCAACAAAGGCAGTCTTGAAGTGGCATTCACTGAAAAAAACCAATAAACTTCTAGAAAAAACCCACTGTAATTGGTCCTTTTCTCCTGAGCTGAGGTGTTCAGAACTAAAACTGAGAGCAGAAGGATGCCCAACTTATTCTTTGGCTTCCACAGAAGACTGTGCCTTGCACAGTTAAGACATCAAATATTTTTAAGGTGCCCAACAAAGGAAGGCTTTGCTACTGGTTCCAACTTGGCAGGAAGATAAGAAATGTTTCTAGATAAAAAGAAGAGCTGCAGAGCTTTTAGACAGATTGTGCTATGCCTAATGAACCATGGATTTGGGAAGGGATCTGACTACCTGTTTGCTGGGAAGAGGGAAGGAAAAAACCCCAGGCTTTGCAATTAAGTAAAATTCTACATCAGGAAGTCTGCAGAATCATCCCTTTTTGCTTCTGTGGTGTGTGAGCTGTTTTCTAATGTAACAAAGCCAGTCTGAACAAACATTCCATTTCCAAACGTAGAGGTTGACTAAAGGTAGTGACAACAGTGGCAATAATAGTGTTGTTGAGGCAATTACCTGATATACTTGCTTATGTCCTGTGTAAATAAGAAGCTAAAGTAACTTCAAAGCCTCTCCCCCCTCCATTCCACACTTCCCAAAGAATATCCATTAAAGATTCACCTAGTGATACCCTGGCAGGAACAGCTCTTCTGTCAATCCAAAATGAAACCCAAGACAGCATCACCATCAGCATGGCTGGGAAATAGGACTGTAGCACAAAAAAGAAAATGTGTCTCCGGAGGGCAAAGTTGATAAAAAGTCGATTGTACCAACCTATTGAAAAAAAGAGAGAGGAACAGGGTGGGGAGGAAGAGAAGAGAGCTGTGTTATTTGTGAGCTGTTTGCTGGCCCCCTCCCTCCAGCAGGAGCGGTGTATCCACATCAGGAACAGTAAATGCCTAAGAAAACTTGTCACCACCTTAGTTTTACACAGTGCTTTGCAAACTGCCCTCTGTACCTCATTAAAACACTGCTGCCTTGGGAGTGAAGCATCACGACCACTGTTATAACTGAGGTTAGGAAATGGGAAAGATTAAACCGACTTCAGGTGAAACTGCCAGGAGAACACACACAGGATATAATTTCCCAACGAAGCCAACACGCTGCCTCCTCCAAAAAGCATCCTGCCTTCTCTCACGCTGCAAATACCCCGCAAGAAGCAGCCCCCCCCGTTCCCCTCGATCGGAGCAACTTGCCATCGCAGCGCTGACTTTAGAGGAGAGAGTGCCATCTAGTGAATTTTGGGGCGTGCTCTGCCTGTGCAGCACAGCTTGTGCGCTGTACCTCCTGCCACAGCAGGGAAACCGATATAAAAGCGAGGTGAAAATAAGGCAAAAAGTGGGTGGCTGCGTGTCCAGGACATCCATGAGCCCATGCTGGAGCAGTCACACCATCACAACGAGTGACTTTATAGAAAAGAATATATCAAAATTAATCCCAAATAATATTAAACACACTCTGTTGTGTTTTCAGTTGTGGAGAAAGTTTTTTGTTTGAAGAATCTCTACAGTGGATTTAATTGTTGCTCCTTTGGAGCCAGGGAACTCCAAAAGCCTAAACACTACACTGAGATTCACAGGAAAGGATGTGTGGAACCTGAAATGCAAAAAGCTGCTTTATGAGTAGCATTTTTGTCCATTTTTTTCAAGAGATTTTAGGGGGAGATGACTCACATTAGAGTTGTGCCAGTTGTTCCCCACTACTATTTACTTGGAGGGTGAAGCCAGGTAACACCTGAGAAGTGAATTTAGTAAAGCAATGTAAGGATTAGAGAGAGTTAAGCACAAATGCAGGCTTTCAGCAAAGCACATAGAGCTCAGTATTAGGAAACAGTGGAGGCAATAAATCCACTAGGATACAGGTCACTTTGACATGAGGGAACATGGGCATGAACGGAGAGAACTAGAAATGCTAGCACACACAAAAAAGGACATATGGAAGAAAACAAAGGGAGATAAGAAAAGGGACAAGCCAAGAAATCAGGAACTTCTGCCAGACACTGGAAATCCCTGCCAAATGCACAAGGAAACTACCCAAATTAGGGAAGGTTCAAAAGTTTATGAGGAGGATGATGGTGAGGACAGCAGGTTCATGATGAAGGAAGAACGGAACTACCACCAAAGTGCTCCCCAAATTGAAGACCACGCCTCTAACTCCGCCTCAACTCCGCCTGTTATGAATATTAAAAGTAGATGTTGCAATGTAATGAATATTCATAATATGTGATGTAATTGCTTAGCAAAAAGTGTATAAAAGCTCAAATTGTAAGTTCCTCGGGGAAGCGGTTTGTCCAGGGCGACCTGGCCGCTTCCCGGCCGTGAAAATAAATACCTCCTGCTTATAGACTGAAAACTCTGTCTCTGAGCAGTCTCTCTACGCCTTCTTTGGGGCATAAATTTGGCATCAATCTTGGCGACCGCGGCAGGACGGGGGGGTCTTCCTGGGCCAGGACCCAAGGGGCCGGGACGCTCTCGGGGCCCCCCGACTGAATTATTGTCGGTAGAGTCTCCCAGACCCCTTGGATCTGCGCAACGGTGGACAAGAACCTCCTGCTCCAAATTAAGAGGTATTTGATCTTTTATATTTTAGGTAAAAGCGCTTTATTGGTGGGGATAGGACGCTATCGCCCAAAAGGGAGCCGGAGGGACGCCTCGGCATTAGCCCTAAAAACTGGGTTCGAGTCCCAGGTATTAGAAGCAGCAGGTTAGAGTCCTGCAAAGAGAGCAGGTTAGAGTCCTGCAAAGAGAGCAGGTTAGAGTCCTGCAAAGAGAGCAGGTTAGAGTCCTGCAAAGAGAGCAGGTTAGAGGCCTGCCAGAAAAGGGTTAAAGTCCCAACACAGCAGAGAAAAAAAAAAAAAAAAAAAAAAAAAAAAAAAAAAAAAAAAAAAAAAAAAAAAAAAAAAAAAAAAGAGAGGTTCTATTACTTGTGGCATTCTGATTGTTATTTGTATTGTTTTGTTTGCCTTTTGTGTATCATAGACTATTTTGTAAAATATTGTGAGTGTCATAGACTATTTTGCTCAACTATTTTGCTAAATGTTTAGAGTTCTATATGAGAAGTGATGTACCTTTTGTGCTTTTGTGTATTGTCTGGCAATGTGTTTCTTAAAAGTGCTTTTGCTTTGTGTTTTCTCGTCTGCTTTCTGTTTTGTGTGGAATAATGTCCAGTAATGCATTTAAAGTTGCGTCTGACTTAAAGATTTGGGAGACTAATGGTCCTTAACATTCCCTTCTAAGCTGTCTCAAGATTTGAGAGTGTTTCCTTCTGATTTTCTTGAGACAAGGGGCTCTAGGACCCGGAGAAGCCTCTAGTCCTACTGAAGAATTCCTGGAATGCGGTAGCTAGAGATAATGTACTGTGATTTCTTTGTAATGTTTCATTTTTATATGCTGCTTTTTACAAGCTGTTCTGGTCTGTGTTAAAATTGTAGTTTGTTTGATTCTGCTCTTAAGTGGTAATTCAATAGAAAACTTTAAAGAACTTAAAAGTGTGCAAATGTGTGTGTGAGTGTCTGAGATGCAGCATCACCGTGAAGCGATTGCAGAGCTAGAAACAGATAAAGCAGCTGGATGTTGTATGTATGAAGTGCTGAGACAAAGTAAAAGGTATTTTAAGACAGTGAAATAAATTAGGAAAAGTGTAAGCTTGCTGTGATAGTGTAAAAGAATTTATCAGACAATCAATTTAGAGAAGAGACGAACTAGAGTACAACCTCTAGTGATTTAAAATATTTGCAACTGGAAACCAGTTCAAGAACACGACTCCTGGATCAACTGGTGTATTACTGATGCTCAAATAATTGAAAGGTCCAGGGAGAATCTGTCCTTGAAAGACTAACATTTGTCAGCAGTAACTAGTACATTATACATAGATATTTTGTGTATGATGCGGTGAGACAGATTGAGAAATCCCAGCTAAGTGCATAATTGCCAGCAAAGTAAAGAAAGCAGCCTACTAGAATCAGGAAGGGAGGAGAAAGAGAGCACCCTGCAAAAGTCAGAAAGAGATAGGGAAGAAAGTAACCCTCAGAAACCAGGAAGGGATGAAAGAAAAGAAGACAGAAAGCATAAAGATAAAACAGATACCGAAAGCTTAGAGAACGATCAAGAGGAAGGGATTGACTATTCATATTGTACCAGGACTGCTGAACAGAAAACCAAGGACAAGGAGGGAGAGAAAGCAAAAATAATTAACTGGGCAGCTCTTTATAATGTTAGACAAGGGCGAGATGAGACGCCTTCGGAATTCTTAGACAGACTTAGAGCTGCCATGAGAAAATATACACCCTTAGATCCTGCGTCAAAAGCAGGCAAACAACAATTACTAGTAGTATTGATGGCACAGAGTAACCCAGGTATTAGAAAGAAGCTGCAAAAACTCCAGCATCTTGCAGATGAAAATTTAGAGACAGTAATGAATGAAGCTTGGAAAGTTACAACCACAGAGAGAGAGGAGAAGAAAAAAAAAAAAAAAAAAAAAAAAAAAAAAAAAAAAAAAAGGATGAGAAAGTTGTTAAAGTTGTAGTGGTAGCAGTAGCAGCCCAAAGCTCAAGATTCCCGGAGATAAATACTAGAGGCAGAGGTCGTGGTTACCCTGCAAAGGGAATAGGAGGTTTCCTTTCCCAACAAACCAGAATAAAGTCAAAACAGTGTTCCTATTGCTTGCAAATAAGTCACTGAAAACGAGACTGTACTAAATTAAATAGGAAGTTTAAGAGTGCTACTGTCCCCTATCAGAGCAGTGACTGAGGAGGACCGGTGAGTCGTTCCCTAGCAGACCCACTAGTTAAAATGGAGCTAGAGGAGGGTGAAAAAGAATTAGAGTTTTTAATCAACATAAGAGTTATATTTTAGTTTTTAATCAGGAACTAATGCCAAAAATCACAAATATGTACAAGTTGTGGGAGCAACAGGCCAACCAGAAAAAAAAACCTATTTTTTAAAACCTCTTAAGCATAAAATTGAGAAACAAATAGAAGATTATAGATTTTATAACAATACCCAGTGAAGCTAAAAGATAAGAAAGAGAATCGAACTGATAATAGAGAAATTTTTAGAATGAGAGTTACTCAATTAACCTGGACAGATTTACCTCAAAGTCAAAGGCCACAGAGAGATGGTACTCTTCTAATGTAGATGATCTGCTAATAGCAACTGGGACAGAAGAAGAATGTGTTAAATGGACTATTTCTCTGTTGAATTTCCTGGGTTTAAGCAGATATCGAGTCTCTCAACAGAAAGCGCAGTTGGTGCAAGAAAAAGTAGTGTACCTGGGATATGAAATTTCTAGAGGACAACGATCCCTAGGAACAGCAAGAAAAGAAGCCGTCTGCCAAATGCCTAAACCCGAAACGGTGAGAGATCTACGAACCTTTCTAGGGATGACAGGTTGGTGCCGTTTATGGATTTATCAATACGGGATACTCGTTAAACCACTGTATGATTTGCTGAAAGAGTCTAAGAGTGTCCTAGTCTGGACTCCCGAAGCAGAGGGAGCTTTTAAGAGACTGAAACACGAACTCATAAAAGCCCCAACCTTGGGCCTGCCCGATGTAACAAAACCATTTTAGCTGTTCTCTCATGAATGGCAACGAATGGCTTTAGGAGTCTCGGCACAACAGTTGGGACCACACAAAAGAGCCGTGACTTATTTCTCCAAACAGTTGGATGAAGTAAGCAAAGGATGGCCCAGCTGTCTGAAAACGGTGGCCGCAGTGATCATAAACATAGAAGAGGCCAGAAAACTTACGATGGGCCAGAAAATGACTGTGTTAG